AGATCTTCAGCCGGCCTATGAACTATACCACAAGGTAGATGTCCCAAAACCACACGTTCCTATTGAAATAAATCACGTAAATCTATTTCTACTGTTGTATTTCTTTCTTGCAACCATACGCTTGTCTATAACACAACTTTTGATTGAAAAACATCGTTTCTCTTTATCAGCGAGTGTCCTACTAAATAACATGGCGGATTTTTGTGTATTTTTTTTTAATGGCAGTCATTAATTTTGAAAATTTTGCAAAAATAAAAATAATTGTCGGATCTTAATGAAATTTTCAGAAATTATTCACAAATGATTGAAATTATTATAAATGTGTTTATTTTTTTTTAAGTCATGCTAAATATTTTTTTTATTTTTATTACCCCCCCCCATAATTAATTTTATGAAAACTCATGAAATTCTAATTTGTACAGTTTCAGCGATTAATTAGTTAAAAGCACAAGACTTTGAGGAAAGCAAATCATTTTTCCTTTTTTTTTTTTTTTTAGTTGACACCCTTCTACCTTAAAATCAGCTCTGAATTGTAACATACAAAACTCAATAAAACAAATATATTATTCAATTTCAAAAGCTTTTAGTTGCTTTTACTTGCTTGTATGAATATTTTCTGAAAGCAAAAAACGTTTTCCATGAAAAATAAATTTTTACAACAATTATTTGTTATTTCTTAAATTATTTTATGTATTAATATTTTACCTATTATAATAAAAGTTTTACAACTTTCTTACCAATAAGAAGTACCGTTAAATTTGTGTCAAATTTGAGCTGTGAATTATGTAGTTTATTTGCATCTACCCAAAGCAGCTGATTATGAGGCACCTTTTCTGACTTGGAGATAGAATTAGTTGTCAGGGGCTATTTGAGACGCATCTCATGTGAGCGTTTTACTGGGAACTTGTCCCTACTACCAAGCCAGCTATGATAACCTTTGGAACATATACAAACATTGCATTTGAACGGTTATATAGTGTTATTGTTAGATAAACAAAAACACAATAAAGCAAGATAAATTAAGAAATAGACGTACATAAATAAACAAACATAAATATCGAAAAATTTGATAACTGTCGAAAAGAATAGCAGAAATAAAAATAAAAATATAAATCGGAATTTAAACCTACACTACTCGAAGATTGTCAAATCATTATTTATGACATATAATAAACAATAATTTATACAACTTTTTTGACAGTACTAACACCTACACTATCAATTGATGAAAAATAAATGTGTGTGGAAAAGGCAAACTTACTTTAGATAAGCAAAGTAAAAATAAGAGAAACGATCTTCAGGGTGGTTGTTTTATTTCATTTTTTTATGTTGTGATTATTATATTTATTTGTATTTATAGGTGTTGTTTCGTAAGTATCAAATATCACGTCGGGTTGATTCACTAAATGTAGCAGGAACACCAAATATATAGGTATGTGGTGGTACTGAGCAAGCGAAGGACCAGATGTTAACCCTCAGAGGTCTAGATAGCAAATGACCAATACTGGTCTTTGCGCACCAGGCTCGACGCATAAGTTCCGGTGGAAAATAAAAAAGAAATAAAAAGAATATAATAAGCAATTTCCACCAATTAAACGGCCCCGCGCCATATCCAACAGTTTGTTTCAGCATACTGACTCAGATCCGATGGACACACATAAATAGAACGATGAATTCACTTCTGGTCAGAAAGCCTTGAAGTTACCGTCATAGAATGTCGCTACGCTTTTCTCACCCATCAACCCGACGCCTCCAGTTTTCCTTCACCAACGGAGATATCAAATGACACCTACCAACCCATTGACCTCGCCTTTCATCTCCTGGGACCAGCACGCCTAAACTTAAGTATTCACAAAATGACACTTTAATTCCTTTCATAATCTGATTTCTTTTCTTTGAATGAACATTTTAATAACGGACTTTGTGCGTGTTAATTAAGAAACATTATACTTATCATTGATGTGTATTTAAATATAAAGTGTTTCTGATATACCCTTCTCTTTCATATTTTGTTTGTTTATGTTATGGTGACCTCAATTTGATTGCTTGTTGAACCTTTAGGCCAAACTAGCAGCTGTCCATAAGTGACTGCTACTGCTTACCTCCCTTCTTATACAAGCAACAATTACCAACGAATATACACTTCCCACAACACCACAAGTGGTGACCCCGACGTGATGCAAAAATTTGACATGGACAAATTATCCAGGGGACACCTGCATACAATACCTAATTCTTACATTCCAAAAGATTTACAAACATGTAAAAGTATCTGGCTAAGAACAGACAGAGTAAGAAAGCCATTGGAAGCTCCATACACAGGTCCATTCCAAGTATTAAGTCGTCATGAAAAATATTTTACTATTAAAAGATCGGATGACGTACATAGTAATGTTTCAATAGATAGACTAAAACCTGCATATATTTCTGAAAATATAAAATCAAAAGATTCCATTGGATCAAGACCGGATTTGGATAACTCCCTATCTTGTTCCGAAGAAACTAATGATAACAAACCAGAAACTAGAACGAAGTCCGGTAGAACGGTTAAATGGAAGAAAGAAAACACATATTTTTATTACTGATATAACAAAAAAAAAAAAAATTGAACTGTCACAAAATTAGAATTTTTATTCAACACAAACCAAAAACATGGCAGCTGACGCTGAAGAAACTACAATTAATCAAAACCAACCAATCCAAGCTGTTGCGATAAAACCACCAAACTTCATTGAATCAAACGTAATAGCTTGGTTTGCGATAATGGAGGCGCAATTTAATATTGCAAATATAAGACAGACCAGTCAAAAATTTTTTAACACTTTGGCAGCTCTCCCTGTGGACATAGTAAGAAATATACAGCCAACTATACTGCAATCAAAAGATTATGACGCACTAAAAGAAGCAGTGACGGGCGCTTACGAGAAAACAAAACCAGAGATGCTGGACAAATTAATGTCGTCATCGACTGTAACAGGTCTTCCTCAGTATACCTGAATGAACTTATGTCATTAGCAAGCCGAATTGGCGTAGGGGACGATATCGTACGTCACAAATTTATTCAAGCCCTACCTCACTCCATTAAACCAGTGGTAGCTGCACAAGTCGATTTAGACACAGATCGTCTTGGAAAAATGGCGGACGACTTATTATTATATTTTAACAAACAAGACACCGCACATATTCGACAGATTTCGGGGAAGCAAAAGGATGAACAGCAAAATAAAAATGAAACTAAAAGGATACATGGCTGTTCCCACAGTGAAAATAAATTCCCTACCAGTGTTCGCCCTTTAACAAGGACCAAAAACCTCAAATTTGCTGAGCGCATTTATACTTTGCGGAACGTGCAAAATTTTGTAAGCCGTGGTGCAGATGGCCAAATAAACGGAATGTTCAAATGCAACCCAACTCTCGCCCAAATTCACCAGTTCCTCGTGAGACTTCGGAAAACTAACTAGGCGAGAGGTGTTAGCTTCCATTTCCTCGCCGCTTCTCATTGTAGCCGCACGGTTAGGAGCTCAAAGTTTAAATTTTATTGTGGATACAGGAGCTGCCGTATCTATACTTCCGAAGAGATATTTAAGCAGAGCTGTAACATACCCAACCAATATCTCTTTAGTGTCTGCCAACGGTCAAAAAGATTGAATGCTCAGGACAAACAGTACTGAATCTAACACTACGGAAGCTCAGACGAGAATTTACCTGGACATTTATAATAGCCGAAACTGCTCAGCCACTCCTAGGATACGATTTCCTAAACCATTTCGGGCTAATGGTGGACTGCACAAACAATAAGCTAATTGATAAAATGACTAATAGACAATCCGATGCACATCCATCGTCTTGTTGCGGACCCGGTAGGGTGCAGTGCTGGATTATACTGAGTGGCCTTGTGCCAGACACCACACTAAACTACCGAGCCTACAAGCAAAGTAAAAATGCGTGAATGAACAACGAAGAAATGTGAAAATCCACACGTGCATAAATAAAATATATTAACAAGATAGCCTCCTCGGAATGACTGAAAAAGACTGGATTTCAACAAGAGTAATCTTTATTTAATACAGGAAAAACAAGTAATTTGTCCCGTGGTAGGGACCAATGAAAAAGTTCCGCGCCAAAATGGAAAAGCAAGATGGCTAAAGGCGGGAAAAGGTTCTTGAAGAAAAAAGGTTCCAGTAAGTCAATGTACATGGTAATATTCATACAAGGAAAAATACTCACTGCGAGTTTAGGTAATGTGAGTGAATGTTATGTACGTATTTTTTTTTTTTTTTTTTTTTTTTTTTGTACTGGTTCAAAACAGATTTCTGACGAGACCCAAAGTGGACGACGGATTGTTATTTTGTATGTTCTGCATCGTCTCGGAGTAGAACTTTGAATGACGAGTCTCAAAGGGCCGAGGAATTAATTATCTGGTGTTCTCATAGTCTTGCAAAAGAAATTCCGAATGACGAGCCAAAAGTGACGAGGAAAAAAATTATCTGGTATTGCATCGTCTCGGAAAAGGGGTCTTGAATGACCAGCCAAAAGGAACGAAGAATTAATTATTTGGTATTTGCATCGTCTCGGAAAAATGATTATGAATGACGAGCCAGAAGGGACGAGGAATTAATTATTTGTGGTCGCATAGTAAGATATCCTTCGTCAGTCAAACTGAAATATTGACGTGGATAAAATGAGTCTGCCCAGGTCAGAGTCTGGAACACCAACTGACTTTTTTTGAAACAACCGTTTGTCGTTGACGTCACAAATTTTTCGCGGCAAGATTTCAAAATCTAATTTGCATAAACAGTAGTAGCAAGTCGCTTGGTTGGTGACCAAAGCAGTTACTACTGTATTAGACCGAACGAGGGAGAAAGGGGGGTGTCAAAGCGCGCGCGCGCACACACACGAGTGTCGGAGAAAGGGAGGAAACTCGCGCGCGTAAAATGTCGTAGATGGAATAATACATTATTCCACAGCTCTCCCCTGGATCAAATGTCGCAGACATTTGACTAATAATAGTAGAATGTTTCAAATTTCTTTGGAAAGGTGACTCTTCGACCGGAGCTGGTACACTTAGGCTTGTCGAGAGAAACAGGTGTCTTAAAATTCTCCTGAACTTGCGGAGTTGATTGGGAAGTAGCATGAGACGACGGTTTCTCTATAAAGGCAGGTTTCAACCGATCTATTGAAACGTTGTCGGTGTGAATACCTTTTTGTATTTGGAAATATTTGTCCGCGCGTTTAAGAACGCGGTATGGGCCTGTGTAGGCCGGCGTAAGAGGCCGCTTAACAGAGTCATTACGTACAAATACATATTCGCAGTCCTTGAGCTGGAACGGTAAATAGATATCACTCGGGCAGTGCCGCGGTGGTGTATAGCATAAGTTTGCCATTTTAAAGCGTAAGTCCTGAATAAAAGAGGAAGAAACTGGTGGTGTGGTCACAGCTGGTGAAAAATATTGGCCAGGTAAAGATAACGAAGTACCAAATACGAGCTCTGCAGGGGAGCATTTCAAGTCATCCTTAAGAATATTTCTTAACGATAGAAGGATGAGGGGTAATTCATCGACCCAATTATTATTCTCATGCTTCGTTGATAGCGAAGCCTTAAGGGTGCGATGGAATCGTTCCACCAGGCCATTAGCACAGGGGTGATACGCTGTAGTACGTATGTGCTTTGCACCAAGGAGTTCAGTGAATTCCCTGAAAAGACACGACTGGAACTGTGCTCCTCTATCTGTAGTAACCACTTTAGGAGTTCCAAAAATCGAAATCCAGTCGCTTAAAATAGCTTTTGCAACAGTCACAGCAGTGGTATCTTTGACAGGGATGGCAGTAGGCCATCGGGAAAAACGATCCACTATAGTTAGAAGGTAGGAATAACCGTGGCAGGTTGGTAAGGGCCCAACTAAGTCCAGGTGTATATTAGTAAAACGAGCATCAGGCTCACTGAAAGTGCCCACGGGAGATTTTTGTGTGTCTATGCACCTTACACTTCTGACATTGTAAACAAGTATTAACCCATTCGCGAATGTGAACGTTCATATTCGGCCAAACGAAACGGTCCGAAATTAACTTAACTGTGGCTCTTTTGCTAGGGTGTGAGAGTCCGTGTAGGTGGTCAAAAAACCTGTCTACGAAGAGACGGAGGAACATAAGGTCTTGGAGATTTGGATTTTACATCACAGTATAAGACCTTGTTACTAAAAGAAGCCGGACATTTCTGAAGTTCTAAAGAAGTGTCTGATAACACATGCTTCAGAGTTATGTCCGCTTCCTGTTCGTCGGCGATCAAATCTTGACTGAGTGCATCAGTATGCACGACGAACATTTCAGTACGAGATAGGGTATCGGCGACAGTGTTATCCGAACCCTTAATGTACCTAATATCAGTAGTAAATTGCGATATATAGTCCAGGTATCTGATCTCCCTCGCAGTGTATTTGTCCGAATTAGTGGACATAACGGACGTTAAAGGTTTGTGGTCCGTAAATATAACGAAGGACCTACCTTCGAGGATGTGTCTGAAATGCTTAATGGCACGAAATATAGCCAACAGTTCACGAGAAAAGGTACTGTAGCGTGACTGGGCAGGAGAAAGTTTAGCGGAAAAGAACGCTATAGGTCTACGTTGAGAAGGAGTGACTTGTTCAATGACCGCGCCTATTGCTGTTTCGCTAGCGTCAGTGGTCAGGTAGATATCCGATTGAGGGTCGTCCTCTAAGAAACTGAGCTTAGAAAAATTGCCTAGAGCGGTTTTAGCTGCTCGAAAGGCGTCCAAGGCTTCATTCTCAAGTATAATAGTCTTATTCTTCTTCTTCTGTAATAAATTGGTAAGGAGTCAGGATGTTAGAACAGTTTGGAATAAACCTCCTGTAGAAGTTGATCATCCCTATAAAGCGTCTCAACTGTTTAATAGAAACAGGGACGGGAAACTCAGTGATAGCTTTAATCTTTTCAGTTAAAGGGGCAATTCCATTTGCATCGACGTGATGTCCTAAAAATTCTATATGGTCTGATCCGAAGACACATTTGTCCAGGTTTAGACGAAATCCGTAATGGGACAAACGTTGAAGAACTTCGTGTAGGTGTTGTTTATGCGAGGCAGCGTCCTCGCTAGCTATCAGAATGTCGTCAATGTAATCGAAAACAAAAGGGAGTCCACGCAGAACCTCGTCCATAAGACGTTGGAATGTCTGTGCTGCGTTGCAAAGGCCGAAAGGCATTTTCAAAAATTCAAATAGACCGAAAGGTGTAGTAACAGCAGTTTTTGGGACATCAGCAGCAGCTACTGGCACCTGATAATATGCTTTTGCGAGGTCTATTTTAGTAAAAATCTTTGCGCCTTGTAAACCAGAAGTGAAATCGTGGAGGTGGGGGATTGGATAACGATCCCGGACGGTGATGGAATTCAACCTTCTATAATCCACACAAATTCTATAGTCTTCCTTTCCTGGTTTAGGTACCAAATGAAGAGGGGAAGCGTAAGGACTGTCGGACGGACGAATAACGCCCTCTCGTAGCATGTCGTCGAAAGCTTTCTTTGCGAATTTTAATTTGTTAGGTGCTAGACGACGAGGACGGGAAAAAACAGGTTGACCAGTGGTCTTAATAAAGTGCTGTGTTTGATGTTTAGTTGAATCAATAGATCCAGCAGGACGCATGAGGTCCTGGTACTGATTCAATAAATCTAAGTACTCTTTATTGTGGCACGTTGCCACGGTGATGCCAGTGGTGGTAAGTTTAGAATAAGTGCCAAGAACACACAGTCTTGTTAAGTTGTCAGTCAGGGAATGGTTGTTCATTCGCACGGCGAGATCATAGTGCGCCAGGAAATCTGCACCTAATATCGGCATCTGGACGTCAGCAACAGTAAAATTCCAAGTAAAGTCTCGTCGCATCCCTATGTTTAGGGTAAGGGACTTCGTACCGTAAGTATTAATACTGGAACCATTGGCTGCTTGTAAGCGGAGCTGAAAAGGTTGTTGACGAGCTTTATCACGCACGGGTAAGACACTAATGGCAGCGCCGGTATCAACCAAAAAACGTAAATTATTACGTGTGTCCGTCACATAAAAAAGGCGACTAAGTTTTGGTGAAAATGCCTTGCCAGCGAGATTAGTCGCTTTCACTCGCTGGCGGTTTTGTTTTCCGCGACCGCAGTATAAGTACACGGCTTGATGCAGTAATAAGCTTTAGACCCAAATCTTCGGTGGTAGTAACACATAGTAGGAGTGGCATCCTTATCTCGGCTGGACGAGCGTGGTCGACTTCTGAAGCGCCGGCGGAAGGGAACCGGCTTCGACCACGGCTCTTTAGAGCTAATGTTAAATCCTTAACTTGGCGCTGCAATTCCTCGACTGTTTTTCCAAGGACCTGTGGTCTCCAGTCGCTTCAGCACTGTGTACCGGCGTTGTCCTGATTATCCAGTTGCGAGAAAATACGATCCGCGGCGTCCGCTAATTGATCGATCGAGGTGTTTTCGGACATTGGCGCCAAAATTTGGGTTATGGTGGTGGGGAGACGGTCCAGCCACAAGCTTTTTAATATAGAGTCAGCCATGGTATTTTTTGCCGAGTCGGCTTTTCATATAACGAAGAAGTTGGGAGGAGTCCTGCCATCACAAGTTAGGTTGCTAAATAGTTCCCGGATTAACGACTCTTCTGTACGGCCCATTCTCCTTAAGATTGCTTCTTTTAACCGCGCGTAGGGTTCTACTTCAGGAACGGCTTCTAGGAAGTCTGAGACCTCATCGACAATGGCGGGTGGCAAAACCGCCACCACGTGGCCAAACTTGGTCTTTTGGTCTGTAATCCTTCTGACTGTGAAAATGGCTTCCATTTGTAAGAACCAGTTCTTTATATTCCCTTCATGAAAGGGGGGAAAAGGAGCGACGGCGGCGGACATGTTCGCCAACTCTTCAGAGTCACTAGTCGTCATTCCGGCTATCGAATTTAAGCACGTTTATATTTCAGCTTGCTCAGAAATATGTTAGCAAGGTTGCAAAATTATTACGTGTTCGTATCACGTCGTAAGGTCACCAATCTTGTTGCGGACCCGGTAGGGTGCAGTGCTGGATTATACTGAGTGGCCTTGTGCCAGACACCACACTAAACTACCGAGCCTACAAGCAAAGTAAAAATGCGTGAATGAACAACGAAGAAATGAAAAAATCACACGTGCATAAATAAAATATATTAACAAGATAGCCTCCTCGGAATGACTGAAAAAGACTGGATTTCAACAAGAGTAATCTTTATTTAATACAGGAAAACAAGTAATTTGTCCCGTGGTAGGGACCAATGAAAAGTTCCGCGCCAAAATGGAAAAGCAAGATGGCTAAAGGCGGAAAAGGTTCTTGAAGAAAAAAGGTTCCAGTAAGTCAATGTACATGGTAATATTCATACAAGGAAAAAACACTCACTGCGAGTTTAGGTAATGTGAGTGAATGTTATGTACGTATTTTTTTTTTTTTTTTTTTTTTTTTTTGTACTGGTTCAAAACAGATTTCTGACGAGACCCAAAGTGGACGACGGATTGTTATTTTGTATGTTCTGCATCGTCTCGGAGTAGGACTTTGAATGACTAGTCTCAAAGGGCCGAGGAATTAATTATCTGGTGTTCTCATAGTCTTGCAAAAGAAATTCCGAATGACGAGCCAAAAGTGACGAGGAAAAAATTATCTGGTATTGCATCGTCTCGGAAAAGGGGTCTTGAATGACCAGCCAAAAGGAACGAAGAATTAATTATTTGGTATTTGCATCGTCTCGGAAAAATGATTATGAATGACGAGCCAGAAGGGACGAGGAATTAATTATTTGTGGTCGCATAGTAAGATATCCTTCGTCAGTCAAACTGAAATATTGACGTGGATAAAAATGAGTCTGCCCAGGTCAGAGTCTGGAACACCAACTGACTTTTTTGAAACAACCGTTTGTCGTTGACGTCACAAATTTTTCGCGGCAAGATTTCAAAAATCTAATTTGCATAAACAGTAGTAGCAAGTCGCTTGGTTGGTGACCAAAGCAGTTACTACTGTATTAGACCGAACGAGGGAGAAAGGGGGGTGTCAAAGCGCGCGCGCGCACACACACGAGTGTCGGAGAAAGGGAGGAAACTCGCACGCGCGTAAAATGTCGTAGATGGAATAATACATTATTCCACAGTCTATTATCATGAATATAGATTTAGTACCGAATAAAGATGCTAACAAAATGGTACGAGCAATTCTGGAGAAATACCCAAACTTAATTTCTCCTCATCGCGACACGAATGCAACAAAACCAAAGATATTCCACAGAATAGAAACTGGTAGCAACCCTCCTACTTTCTCCAGAGCCAGACAATTATCAGCTCAGAGATGTGAAATTGCAAAAGAGGAATTCAAGAAACTCCTAAAGGCAGGAATAATTTCCCCTTCAAACTCTGAATGGAGTTCAGCCTTACATGGTACCGAAGTCAGACGGCACATATAGACCTGTTGGCGATTACAGACATTTAAATACCATAACAAAAGCCGATCGATATCAAGTCCCAAATATAAATTCCTTGTCTTCGAAGCTTCATAATAAGAAGTTCTTTTCAAAGATAGACCTGTCGTCTGCTTATCATCAGATACCAGTACACCCGGAGGATGTTTGCAAGACAGCCATCTCTACCCCTTTTGGGTTATTTGAATATAACTATATGCCTTTCGGACTACGGAACGCATCATGTACTTTTCAGAGAATGATGGACAATATCTTTCGTGATACTGATTATACCTTTGTATATATCGACGATATCCTTATATTCTCAGAAGATGAAGAAACTAATTCCAAGCATATCGACCTAGTACTACCAAAACCGAGTGAGTACGATTTTAAAATTTGTCTCTCCAAATGCATATTTAGTGCTAATGAATTAGACTTTTTAGGATTTCACATTTCTGCTAGTGGTCTCAAACCCAGTGCTAAAAAGTTGAATGAATTAAGTGAATTTCCTCAACCAAACGATTCTAAATCACTACGCCGATTCCTCGAATGGCAAATTTTACAGAAAACTTGTGCCAAATTTCAGCGATATCATACTACCTCTCACGGAAAAAATACGTTTAAACCAAAATTCCAAGTCATTAACCCTAACAAAGGAAGAAATTGAATCTTTCGAAAAATATGAAAAGTCTTTATCAAATGTAACTGTTTTGGCTTTCCCCAGCTCGAAAGCTAACAACTATCAACTTGTAACAGACAGTTCGAATTATGCGGTGGGTGCAGCACTTCATCAAATGATTGATAATCAACCCATCCCCATAGGTTTCTTTTCAAAGAAATTATCCCAAACCCAACAAAAATATTCTACTTTTGACAGAGAACTACTAGCTGCCTATCTAGCAGTACTCCATTTTAAACATTTAATAGAAGGCAGAAATGTAATGTTACTGACGGATCACAAACCACTTTGCAGTGCTTTTAAAAGCCAGTCTTCCTTAAAATCAGATAGACAACAGCGTCACCTCTGTTTTATCAGCGAATATGTGAATGACATTTCACATATAAGAGGTTCAAAAATATAGTAGCTGATTGTTTATCACGACCTGTCAACGCGATCACTATTGATGTATGTGACTTACAAGAAATAATGAAGCATCAAGCTACTGACAATGAAATTCAGGCATTCAAAGATCAACTGAAACCATACACAATAAATCAAAATGAAACCATATTATGTGACACGACATTACCTTTTCCACGACCTTTTGTGACTGAGAAGCTCAGAAAATCGGTATTTGACAGTCTGCATAATCTATCACATCCAGGAATAACATCTTCAAGAAAAATAATAAAATCCAGATACTATTGGCCGAAGATGGACAAGTCAATAAAAACCTGGTGCACAGAATGCCAGCATTGCCAACAAGCAAAAATAATAAAACACACAAAGAGCAAAGTAAATCCATTTGAATTACCTTCCAGTCGTTTTGAAACGGTGCATGTGGATATTGTCGGTCCCTTACCACCAGTAAAGAACCAAACTGACTCTTATTTTTCACCATATCGATATTTATTAACATGCGTTGATAGAAATACGAGATGGATAGAAGCATGCCCAATAACAGAAATTACGGAAAAATCAATATCAACGGCTTTTGTCAATCTGTGGATCTCCCGATTCGGGTTTCCTCTTCATGTCGTTACGGACAGAGGAAGCCAATTTGAATCCGAATTATTCTCAGAACTATCAAAAATAATAGGCTTCCACAGATTACGAACAACGGCGTATCATCCGCAAACGAATGGATTAGTTGAGCGAGCACACAGAACTTTAAAAACGGCTATTATAGCCAGGAAAGAATCGTGGTTATCAGCTCTTCCTATCGTCCTTTTGGGAATGAGGATAACACCTAACGAATCAAACTATTCTTCATTTACTGCAGTAACAGGAGTCATGCACAAGTCCCCGATTATTAATTGACTCTATCAAGAACGAGAATAGTGAAATGACAAACTCGCACGTTAAAATTCTAGCCGACGAGATGCAAAAATTTGACATGGACAAATTATCCAGGGGACACCTGCATACAATACCTAATTCTTACATTCCAAAAGATTTACAAACATGTAAAAGTATCTGGCTAAGAACAGACAGAGTAAGAAAGCCATTGGAAGCTCCATACACAGGTCCATTCCAAGTATTAAGTCGTCATGAAAAATATTTTACTATTAAAAGATCGGATGACGTACATAGTAATGTTTCAATAGATAGACTAAAACCTGCATATATTTCTGAAAATATAAAATCAAAAGATTCCATTGGATCAAGACCGATTTGGATAACTCCCTATCTTGTTCCGAAGAAACTAATGATAACAAACCAGAAACTAGAACGAAGTCCGGTAGAACGGTTAAATGGAAGAAAGAAAACACATATTTTTATTACTGATATAACAAAAAAAACAAAAAAAAAAAAAAAAACAACAACAACAACTCCGTTTACTGGGGCGAAAGTTATGTGGTGGTACTGAGCAAGCGAAGGACCAGATGTTAACCCTCAGAGGTCTAGATAGCAAATGACCAATACTGGTCTTTGCGCACCAGGCTCGACGCATAAGTTCCGGTGGAAAATAAAAAGAAATAAAAAGAATATAATAAGCAATTTCCACCAATTAAACGGCCCTGCGCCATATCCAACAGTTTGTTTCAGCATACTGACTCAGATCCGATGGACACACATAAATAGAACGATGAATTCACTTCTGGTCAGAAAGCCTTGAAGTTACCGTCATAGAATGTCGCTACGCTTTTCTCACCCATCAACCCGACGCCTCCAGTTTTCCTTCACCAACGGAGATATCAAATGACACCTACCAACCCATTGACCTCGCCTTTCATCTCCTGGGACCAGCACGCCTAAACTTAAGTATTCACAAAATGACACTTTAATTCTTTTCATAATCTGATTTCTTTTCTTTGAATGAACATTTTAATAACGGACTTTGTGCGTGTTAATTAAGAAACATTATACTTATCATTGATGTGTATTTAAATATAAAGTGTTTCTGATATACCCTTCTCTTTCATATTTTGTTTGTTTATGTTATGGTGACCTCAATTTGATTGCTTGTTGAACCTTTAGGCCAAACTAGCAGCTGTCCATAAGTGACTGCTACTGCTTACCTCCCTTCTTATACAAGCAACAATTACCAACGAATATACACTTCCCACAACACCACAGGTACTACACTACAGTGTAACCCGTATATAAGAGAGTTGTCGGGACCGGAGAAGAAGTCTCTTATATCCGGGTTTCTCTTATATCCGGGTTACACTGTACTATTATTTATATTAATGATTCTTCCACGTACAGTATTCAAGAAATAATAACAACAACTCCAATTTATAAACCAACAAATATATATTGAATAAAAT